CCCCAAAACCCCAAAACCCCAAAACCCCAAAACCCCAAAACCCCAAATGATATTTTATCTATTGAAAATGAGATTTCTAGAAATTTCAGAAGGATTTCGTGCAATTACAGTTGAGACCCCAGAGAAGGGTTTTGGGTATTAAATAACTATTTATTAAAATTTCTATTTGGTAACTTTTATTTTCTCTGAAGCATCTCTCGTCTCGATGGAATTGGTCTATTTCTTAGTTCTCTTCCCTCTTTTATCATGAAGCCTGAGGGAGTAGAAGACTGGCTTTGTGTTGTAAAAGATAATCAATAAGAGTTTAATATTTCTTAGGATATCCTTAATTTAAAGAAAAAATTTAGATACTCATTTAGCATAAATAACTAGAATTTTAGGTCCTAAGCTGGAGGTGAGGGAAGTTCCTTTCACGAGCTCTCTATAGCATTAAAGGATAAATTTTTCAATTATGTGAGCTCTAAATCAGCTTCAAATTTTATTTTGAGCAATTTTGGCGAAAATAGGCAAATCATGGTTTATTAACTGAACTTTGAATGTAAAATGCTAGCACTTTATTATTACTCAAAATTACTAAAAATACCAAAGTAGACTTCAAATCTGCAGTCTAGACTTACTTTGATCTCTTTTAAATAAAACTATTGCAATTATTCTAAAGCTTCTTTGAATTTTTACTCGCTTTCTTCTCTCTCTGATTTTTTAACTCAAGCAGATATTAAGAAAATTTAAAGAACCGAAATAAACCAGGATGAATAGTAATTCAAATTAAGAATTTTCTGAAATCTCTGAAGACTCTTGATATAGTCTTGACAATGACTTCGATATTGATCCTTCATATAAGCATAAAAATTTAGTTAGAAAACTACAAAAATTCACAGAACAATTGTATTAATGGTTAAAATTGTTAATCTAAGAAAGACTAATACCAGCCAAATTACCCAGCTGTCTGAAATATTTAACTATCAGGCTATTTCTTGGGTCTCCTCACAAGATTCTACCCGAATTGATCAAAAGTAATCCTCAGAATGTTTTATGATCCTGTGTTCTCATCCAGAGATTACAAGTTCTCTTTGTTCTAAATAGCAGCTCTGGAAAACTACTATAAATTTACGAAGTTTATTTATAATTAAATAAAATAAATATGAAAGATAAAATTTATTCGAAACTCTCTTTGACTGGAACTGACAGTAGGATTAGGTGGATCAACCACTCCAAAGTCAGGAAGGACAAGAAGCCTCTTATCGGTAATCCTACATTCAAATCTCTTCCTCATAAACTATTTTTTGCCTGAGAAATACTTTCCAAGTATATACCAAAAAGGACGGATGACTGATGGATGAGACTTTTCTTACTTTATTATGAATTTATTCTATTTACTAGTCCATCCTGTTGAAGACTTCACTTAAGTTTCATTTTGTATCGGCAGCATAAAGGACTGTCCTTTTACAGTAAATATATTATCAAGTTAGAAGCGAAGTGATTATTAATATATTCCTCTTCATCACGCTATTCAGTATTTATTCAACAAATAAGCCAAATTAAGACTCTAATTCGAATTATAGAAGGCTCAGACATAGACTTAACTAGAGCAAGCAGCAAAGAAGGAAGGGTTTTAATGCATTCCAGACAGAGACCTATCTGCGCTCTAAACCTCAAAATGTTTATGAATGTATCGTCTCCAAATCGTCCAGCAGAAAGTATTAGTCAAGCTATGACCTCAAAAGCTAGGACTCCATTTCCTAAAGACTCAGTCGACAAAAGATCAGGAAGTTTCTTGCCTGACATCGCTCCGAAGAAGATTCGTGTATTGAGAAAGAGTAAGTTCCTTGATTGCTCGCTACTAATTTATCCCAATTTCAAAAATGTACAATTCACCAATCGATGTATAAACTTAATATTTTCATAGATAAGGTAGCAAGAGCGAAGAAAGATTGTATCAAGCCAGAAATCTCGAGCAATGTCATTAGGCTAAAGTCTGATAAAATTAGACCTCAAGCAAAGGACAAACTCTACTTTAGCAGTTTTGGCCAAGAAAAATGGAGCAGCGTTCCTGTTGATGCTAACTTTCCTCCTATCAAGCTTTCAGCAAAGAAACATTTTTCTAGAAATTCTATTTGCATCAAGAGGTAAGACTTTTATATTAATAGCGTTTAGAATCAGAAGGAAGGACTCTAAGTTTATGTCAAAATCAACGTTTAAAGACTTCACAAACCTCTTGAGCACCTGTAACTAAATTATCTAATTTGTAAATATTTAATTACATCCTAGTTTTCTTGCTAAAGGCCTTGACTAAAAATACCCTGTGATAGGTATTTAGTATCCTCCTTCTAAAGCTTTACTAATATAAAGCAACAATTAGTTTCAGTTCTTTCTCTATCCAAACTTCGAAGAATTTGCTTAAACTCTATGTTGTCCACGAACGTTCTACAGATCAAATTTCGTTACTGTAATTGTGGCGATTTCTATGAGGAATCAAATTATTTAATTTTCAATGTCATTACCATCTATTGGGGTTTTGGGGTTTTGGGGTTTTGGGGTTTTGGGG